AATCTGGAATGAGATTGGAACTAGGTCTCCCAAAGTAAAGGGCACATTACAAAAAGGCTCTGAAACCTTAGAGTCAAATTTTTCCCCTTCTTACACTCAAAATTGTCACACTAAAAAAATCTCCTTGTGGAGTGTCACTGACTAATAATACAGCAAGGAGTCTAATTCATAAACCATAACTGTAACTATGCTTCTTCGTAGAAAAAGATAGTCTTTCCTAATCAATGCGTGGGAATACTCTGACGCAGCATGAGGAACATATTCGGTATATGATTCCTGGATTCTTCCCGCTTCTCAGCCAATTATTCAACAGCGAAGTGGCAAGGTCGGTCAGCTACAGGGGCTCTATTACTTTCCCCAGTGTGGTTCCGACTAGGTGGATCAACAGGTAACTAGACAGCTGGCAGGTTCTCAGGAAGGACACAGGGGCAAGAAAGTTTGGGAAACCATGGACTGCATGAACCAACTAAGGTAACAGCTGCTTAAGAGACCTGGAATAGAAAAGCATTAAAGGAGCAACGCTTAAGAATGCTAATCTTGAGCAGACTGACAATAATTTGTTTGGAAATTTGTCAAAGCTACCAGATCAACAGGTAGATGATAGTAAAACATCAAGTATGAGAATAAGATATATGAAATTAGAGTCATGTATCTTCTGTATTAGGAGAGGATAGTATCTGTAGCAAGGTTCGGGTTGGTTTATTTTTTGTGCAAGACAAGCATGAGGAAATAAATGAATAGGTAAGCCAACCACACAGTACAGGAAACAACGGAATAATCAGGAATAAACAGGAAAATCAGGCTAAAATCTGACTCAGAAAATAAGCTGCTTAGGAAGCCAAGAAGACTAACTAGTCATCAGATAATCTGATTGCTCAAGAGTAACATAACACCTGGACATGGAGATGGGGGAAAAAGACCAAGTTCTTTAAAAGGGGGGAATGAGGAGGTAAAGAAATCATGAAGAGCACTATCAGTCATAAACACTGGCCTCTCCAGGCCAATTAAATGGAGTTAAATGCAAAAAAACACAAAAATCACTGTTAAATCAAAAGGTAAGGTAAGACAGTGCTTCAGGAAGGCAAGTCTCCTGAATATCTGGTCATTAAGCAAGATTTTTAAAGACTAAAAGCCCCTCATACTTATCCCTCAATCCCCAACCAACCCCACACCTACTGATTTTAAAAATAGTTTATAGAATCTTCTATGTATGGTTCATGGAGAGAATGGAAAAATGCTGTAGAAGGAAATACAGTGAACTGAACAAGGTGCTCACAGAGCCTGTGACTTTGTCCTATTCAATATGACTATCAACAAGCCAAAGAGATGAATACTAAAATAGGCTTGCAGGTACACATGATTTCCAACTTAAGATCTTTCAACTTTACAATGGTGCAAAAGCAATATATATTTAGTAGAAAACGAACTCTGATTTTGAATTTGGGTCTTTTCCTGGGCTAGGATACTCTCTGGTGGTGTTTTGGCAGTGGCAGCGAGCTGCAGTACCCAGTAAGCCTCTTGATCACAGGGTAAACAACGAATACACTTAGAAACATTCTCTACCCAATACAACCATTCTGCTCTTCACTTTCAGTACAGCATTCAAACACATGAGACAGTCAACACTTTATTATAAAATAGGCTTCGTGTTAGATGATTCTGCCCAACTGCTGGCTAATATAAGGGTTCTGAGCATGTTTAAGGTAGGCTAAGGTAAGCTATGATGTTTAGTAGGCTAGGTATAGTAAATGCATTTTTAACATTATACTTTGAATCTATGATGGGCGTGTTGGGATGTAACCCAATTGTAAGTTGAGGAAGATCTGTAGTAAGAAGTGTGAAAGTGACAGCTAATAACACTGATTTCATAATTGCTCCCTCTCTACCATCTATCCTCCTTTTCTGCCTAGATCAGCATTTCCCAAAATGTGTTCGCAAAAACTGACCATGGAAATGAGACCTGAAAAAATGGTTTCCCAATTCAAAGCATTTGGAGAATGCTGTATTTCCTTCCTTCTTAGTAATTAGCTGTAACAAGAAATCCTGAGAAATTCTTTTAATAAGCAAACCTCTGTCTTGATTTAATGTTTCCCAAACATTTGCTCTTGAAACACTTTCACATAGTAATCATTAACTGAAGATAGCCTAAAGTTTAGCCCTATGCCATGTTCAAATTTTCTGTACTAAACAAATGATTCAATTCCTTGAGTTACTACTGCCTCACCACTCTTCTTCCAACTACTGTAAAAAAAAAAATTTGACACTTCCTGCCTCCTGTTTCTTCACCACCTACTCACTTCTCCATCACCTGAAATCTGGTTTCAGCCCCCAGTGTCTTCCTGTGATGTGATCAACTGCACAGACAGCAGAATATGGCTTCTCTTCGACCCCCCAGTCCCCCTCCAGGGTCACACAGCAATAATAATACTTCCTGAAACCCTCCTCCCTCAGTTTCTACAGCACTGCATTCCACTAACCTCTGACTATGTGATCTTTAGTTCTTCTTTCTCTTATTAACTCTTAAATTCTCAGATCAATTCTTAATTCTCCTCTAATAAAGTGCCCAAAATTTGAAACTGCCCCTTCATGGATCTATAATTCCAATCCCAAACCACTTTCTTGACTTCAGATTCACATTTCCAATGGCTTCTTGACTTGTTCACTTCACTTTTCCCCAAGGACTATACATGCACTGTATTCCAATCAAACTCATCCATTTCCCCACCAAACCCTCTCCTCTTCCAGTCTTCTTGATTTCTGTTAGGGACTCAACATTCCTGGAGAGAGAAGGAAGCAGCAGTCAGCCGCTTTCTCCTCAGCATGAACACAGCATTCTGAATATGCCACTTGTAAGGTACCTATCACAGTGGACTCTGACTACTTGCCACCTAGACCTGAAGCTTCTTCAATCACCCGTGACTGCTGTGCTACGATAAATGGAAAAATGGATGAATCCTTTGACTCATACCTCAATTTGTGGATCATCTTTCAAACCCCAATAATATACCAAATTCTCTTATATGTCAACAAAAGTTCTGAATTCTTTCATGTGCAAGGCCACTATCCTTCATCAGACTCAAACAAAACCCCAAGCCTAAACTACAACTATCTCCTAACTGGACAATCAAGTTACTACTGCTTCCAGAGCAATCTTTCTAAAATGCTTCTCTAACTATGTCACTCCTTGATTCAGATACCTTCAATGGTTTCCCACTATTTCCACATACAGTCCAAACCCCCTAGTATGCTATGACTGCCTTCTGTGTCTGGACCTCTGCTATCTTATTTTCCACTACTACATCCTTATTTTCCACTATTCCCTATGTTCTAGTCCAGGGGTAGGCACACTATAGCCAGTGGGCCAAATCTAGCCCACTGCCTATTTTGAAATAAAGTTTTATTAGAACAAAGTCAATTGACATTTGGGGCCAGATAATTCTTTGTTGTATGGGACTGTCCTGCACACCGCAGAATGTTTAACAGGATCTTTGGCCTCTACCCTTTAGATTCCAGTAGCATGTCCCCTGTGCGACATCCAAAAATGTCTCCAGACATTGCCAAATGTCTTCCAGGGGAAAAAATTAAGAACCCCAGTTAAGAACCACTATTCTAGAGGTTTCCAAGTACCAGCTAATAATATGTTGTTGCTAATAAGATACAGACTCTACAATAATTGTAGCAGTGTCCAGATTAAGTGATAAGTCACATCACACAGTATTCAGTGCTAGTTGACTCACACTTATGAAATTGTGCTCAATTATGAATTTTAAGAGGACTTTGGAAAACTGGAATTCATACATTCAAAGGTGACCAAATGTGAGAAACTAGGGGGAAAGGTCATAAGAGGGATATTTAAGTAAGTGAGGTGTTTAGCTTGTGCAAAGGAAGGTGACAAAGCCATGATCTTTAACTATCTGATGTGCTGCCTTGTGGGTGGAAGGTTTAACTTTCTGTTGTTCAGGAAGGCAGAACTAGAACCAGTGGGCAGCAGCTACTACAAGAAGGCAGATTTTGGCTCTACAAAAGTAAAAGCTTTCTAACAATCACAGCTGGCCAAAAACTGCATTAGGCTGAGCGGTGAAACACTGCTCTCCTTATTCTGGAAGTGTTCAAGCAAAGACCAGATGAACCGATGTCTGAGATGCTGCAGAGAGATTCCTGCACGGGGAGGTAGGACAAGATGATCTCTCTAGGGTTCCTTCTAGCTCTGAGATTCTAAGGCTAGCAAAGGAAAGCCATATGGCATGAATAATAAAATTCTCTAATTTCAAGACCTTTATTACAGCAAAAGAGAAAAATATTTTGCTAAACAATTTACCCTATGTCTGTTTGGTACCATTTTACATTTAGTGCCTGGCATTACAAGCCAGCAATCTATTTTCTCTAATTGACCTATGATCAATTCCTGGACAATGTATGTCACTACTTTTAAACCATAACTTTTATTCTGCTAATAATCACTAGCACAATTTATACAATACTTTAGTTTTCAAAGCACTGTGATATACATTACTCACAGTAAGTATGAGCATGAAAATTTTAAATAACCTGCTCTCATTCACTGTCTCTTGCCTGAATTTCTTATGAAAGAAAGCCCTTAGTATTTATTAAACATTCACTTAAAATAATAAAGCGTATTCCAACAGATACTCATCTCCAAAACAAACCATTTATACACAACCCAGAGATAAGCCAAATCTAGTTATTTCAGCATCAGAAACACGGACTTGCCTCAGTGGAATTTCTCTTTTATTTATGATTTTGGGAGGAAAATTTGAAAAATCATTATTTGGTTTTCCCAAATTTCAATGTAGCCATACAAACCACAAGTCCCAGAAGGCAGTCACAATAAAATGTAAAGCCTACGTATTACTGACAAGCAAAGCCATTGTGGGTCCTGATTCCATAGACTGTTTTATTCCCCAGCTGCAACTGCCAATAGGAGCTGTGTAAGGATTTTACCCAAAGCCAAATGGGCCCTCACCCATTGCTTTACTTACTTCTTTACGTTTCGTTTCTGGACATTCCGACTGCAGAGTGAGGGTTGCACCTTCGATATTTCTTGGCATGGGTGTGGAACCAGGGTTTATTGTTAAATGAATTTGATCTGGTGAGATAATGTGTTGCACATAACCCTGGGACATTGCTTCATGATCTATTAGGTGAAAGCCCTCTTCACCCCCTACTAGAAAAGGCAAGTGTTCTCCACACTGTCCATCATCATCTTCATCCTCCAAAGTGCCAGGGTCCTGCTCAATAAGAACAGTTGTCCTATCATAAACAGTTCCAGGTGAGGAAGGCACCAGTCCATTTTTATCCACAAACCTGAGCATCTTATCATCGGGGGTCAGTTCATCTTCCTCTGCCTCAAAGTAGATGATGTTGTTGTCTGGACTGTGTTCCCCCATGGTTCAATCAAGCTCAGCCCAATTGTGAGAAATGGAAATGTAATGACCTGTCTGTAATAGGACAAAGCCAGAGTTAGAGCCATACTACAGGACCCAAGGATCTCTTCAGCAACCACAGGACCCATTTTTCCTCATTTTAAGAGCAGGCCAAAAGTAAATGAAAAATCACTTCCTTGGGAATGATTTTTAACTTTGAGTCACGTCATTTTGAAGGAAAAGCAATGCCTTTAAAAAAAAATTGAAGTAGTAGCAGTTCATATAGCCAAACAATTTGAAGTTTGGTCAAAATACCTGAAGAGAATGAAGGAGCAAACTCCTTCAAGGGTGAATTGTTATAAATCTTAAAGTAAGGAAACCCCACTCAAATATCCCCCAAATCAGACAAGGTAGGGCAGTCTATGGTGAAAGAGCAGGCTCTGGAGGCAGAGTCATCTACCCACATATCCTGGCTTTGCCACTTACTACTTGGGTAATTTTTCTGTGCCTCATTTTTCTTATACATAAGGTGGAACTGGTAATTCCTGTTCTCTCAGAGTTGTTAGGCACAGTAAAAGAAATAATGTATGTTAAGGCACAATGCCTGACAACAGTAGGGAAAACAAGTGTGAATTCATTCCCTCCTTCCTAGAACGTAAGTTCCAGCTTCTGGGTAGAGGGGCTGATCCCTAATAAGGCATATTAATGAAGATCACTTTATGTATTTATCTCCTAGAACAATCTGGTGTCCACTAGAAGCTATGCCTGAATACTGTGTTCTCTGCAATGAGGGAACAGTCTTATTTTTGTTTCCACTGCCCCTAGCACAGTATACTGACACTTATTAGGAGTTCAGAACATGTCAGCTAAATGAATGAAAGACCTAAGATATACATACTCTCCTGAGAAGACATCCTCTCTTGGGAAGATATACTCTCTGGGGAAAAATACCAAAAGCTTCCCTGATCTGAATCTGTGATTCTTTCTCACACAAGTTCTACAAATGTGGGGAAAAATACCAAAAGCTTCCCTGATCTGAATCTGTGATTCTTTCTCACACAAGTTCTACAAATGTGGGTTTGGTAGGCAAAACAGGGAATTTAAAAATAATCAGCACATCACTTTTAGTTTTCAGTCTGGCTTTGTACGTTATCATCCTCTTCTGCTCTGGGTTAGAAGGTGAACCTTTACGTAGTGGGGCGGCTAGACATAGAGGTAGTTACCAGAGACAGGCCAAGGGATCAGATCCGGGAGGAACCGGCCCGACCCCTTGCTCTGCCTTACGCAATCGGGTAGATGCACATTTCGCTGCATCTGAGAGGAGAGATAAGAGCACGAGGGGCCCCACTAGGCTGCCCCGGCACCATCGGCAGCAACGCGGGGACCAACTGTCCGGAACAAATAAGACCAGGAGGTTTGAGGATGGCAAAAGAGAACCCTTGAGAGGAGGCTGGGAAAGGAACCTGTTTGGGAGGATAGCCCCCAGCCCGGGGCTACACGGAAAAATCCCAAGACAGGCTGGGGGGCTTCAAGCCTGGCAAAGAGGGGCAGGGTCCGGGTCTCCATGGAAACAGGGGAGGGGGGGCTGGATACCCATCCCCATGGAAACGGAGGAGGGGTGGGGTCCCTATGGTGACCGCACTGGGGTCCTGGGGTCTCTGTTGGGAAATGTTTCAAGAGTGAGCCAAAGTCCCGCGCCCCCCGGGAGGTCCCCAGCCCAGGCCGCGTCTAGTTTCGCCTTTTTACCTCCGCGGCTCCCGGCAACGGCGGCAGCGCCAGCTTCTCCCCTCCCCAACGGCACCATGATTACCCCCACCTTCCCTGAACGTCACTTCCGCTTCCGCTTTCCGGAGGAAGGAGGAGATACCGGCTCCCCTCCCTCTGGAGCTTCTGATTGGTTTAGGCGACGTGAGGCTGAGCTCGAGCCTCCAATTGGCCGGCGAGAGAGGAGGGGCGGGGCGGGACACCACGAAGGCGTAGCTCCGCCGTGAGTTTGTCCTGGGCGGGAAGTGCTTGCAGGCAGTGAGGGCGTCGCTCCGACTACACCAGACACAGGGAAAGATGATCGAACCCCCCCAGTAACTTCAGCCTGGCGTGCGCTGGCCGCCTTCTCCCTGGCAGCCACGACGGCAACGGGGAAAGTTACTTAGCCTTCCGCATTCCGACTCGGACCCGTAAAGGGAGCCTATAAAGCGGTGACATTATCGGATTCACTCCGTGCCTTAGCTGCCCCTCATCACCCACTAAAGTTAATATAGGCAGGAGGGTCTGAGAAAGTAAGATTGGAGCCAAATGGCAGACCCAGGGAGTATCCCAAGCCCAGGCAGAGGACGCCGCCGCCTCTTCTCCGTGTCACACGCTCTTGTAAGATGCTTAGCTCCCTTCGTCCTCACACGCCTGCCCAGGCTGTCGGCCCGTTTTCCCCTGCAGAGGATTGTCTGCTTCCACGGAATTAGTGCCCGGAGCCAGTCAATGCCACCTACTGCCCATTCCCTTTCTTTAACCGTTCACATTGTCACACTGTCCTGTATCTAATTCACACTTTGCGCTGCCAAGGGATAGTGGTGTACCAGTGCGCAGTAGCCGATTTTCCATTCATTATGCCATATCTTTAAATACCTGGACGATCTAGCTGTTAGAACCTCCCAACAGCCACTGCTTGTTTTTCCCATAAGATACTTCTCTAGAACATACAGAGTGGGACAACTCCCAGGCTAGATCAGGTGTCAAGAGGTTCAGGCCATGCCTGTACCATCTCTTGCTTGAAAATGTGAATAGTGACTGTTACCCACCAGACTGCCAGGCAATTATCTCTCTGGCCCCCGACCAGCTGCCCCAATGCTTAAGCTATGAAGAGCCAGCTGCCAAGAGCTGCCATCACTTAAAAGAACACATACAAACAACTATTGTTAAAAATACATTTATCATTAAAATATATTACACATATGAGAAAAAGGATGCATCATATACAGTTTGAAGGATTTGCTGGCCCAGAAAATCCCACTTGTTTCTCCAGAAAACCAATTTCTTGGGTATTTTCATTTTCAAGCCACTGTATTGCCCTCAGAGGCTGAATGGCCAGTCGCAGAGTCCGTCAGCCATATCTGAGTAGAAGAAGGGTAGGGTTTGCATATACATATACACATGTCCTTAGAGCAGTAGAAGCATCTGGGGTGGCTGTGGCCTGTTTATCCAGCAGCTTCCACTTGCATTCTTGCTGTTCAACTCAATCTCTCTTCAGGACTCCAAAGTTTGATCCTGGGGAGCTCAGCCCAGACTACAGTGAAGGAACTATGCCCTGGAGGCAGGCGGAGTGAGCACTAGAAGTCTAGTTAAATATTTGTAAAACTAAACAACAAAATAGAGATCTGTGTCAAATACTAAAGTTGAACACTGAATGTCAGTTTTTTTGTGGTGTTTTTCCTGCACCTGCCCCCTCATGTCCTCACAACTCACAGTAGCACTGTGATAGTCATGGTGGGGGTGGGGTATCTGGGCTCAGAAAAGAGGCAGCTACCACTCTTGCTTCCAAGTGGCCTTACATCCTTGTAAGGTGGCTCTTGAGCTGAAACAGGTGGAGCTGGTATCTGGCTGCCTCGGGTAAAGTAAGAGAGGAGATAGGCTCAGTGTGCATTGCAGAGGAACTGGTGAATAAATTCTTGAGCCTTCTTCTTCTCCGCCATGTCAAGCTTTTGGTGACCAGCTGGATTTCGAAGTAGTAAGCTGCCAAATATGCTAGCTGCATGAAAAACACAGAAAACAAATGATTCAACAGACGAAGTACTACTTGCTCTTGTGTTGTCTAGAGTGGGGAGGGCTGCCCAAAAGCAGTATTTTCTGCTTTTATAAAACTCTTTTAGGTAAACTTTGCCCAGAGCTTAAGGCGTTAGTCCCACTGCAGTGGACTTGGGACCTTCCTCAACCCCATTTCCCATAATGAGTCTCAGCTTGTAATGCTTCCTGCTGACACTTGGCTGCTTACCTAGAATATTCTCATCCAAATGATTTTTTGCGGAGTTTTTCAGCAGTTCTCGCAAAAACGCCATCAAGTAGTTGAAGACATTTTTGTGGGACGCAGGAAGAGTAGAAATGACCTGCAAGGAGAATTGGGATTTGTCTTTTCATTTACTCAATCATTGCTCATATTTCTGCTATAGTCCAGGAACTGAGTACATGATCCAAGTTCATAAGTGAGACTGTACAAAGACCCTGATCACTTGCCACCTGGCACAAGTGCCAAAAAAGCAGCCCAGATCAAGTGCTATGCGAATTTAGAGGTCAAAATTCAACTTCATGCTCTCAAAGACTTCAGGGAATAGCAGACATTTTAGTTGGGTCTTAAATATAAGACAAGATTGGACTTGCAGAGGTAAAGGACTAGGGTAGTTAGGGCAAAAGCAGGTGTGGAAAAGGTGAGAGAAGGATAAAGTGAGGTGAGGAGTGCAAACTCAGCTTTGGCAGGAGCACTACTGCTGGAACAGGGGCTAAGCCTGAAGAGTTGGTCAAGCTGGAACTCAGTGAGTACTCCGGCTACCCACAAGTCAGAATCAGTGGGGAAGTTTGTACAAAATAGACTCCAAAAAAGATTCTGATTGGGTGGATATGTGATGAGGCTCTAGTACCTGAATTATTAGCAATTCTAGACCATTTTGCTAAGGCCTGTTACATGTGTGAACCACTAGACTAGACCATTAAAAGTCTTGAATATTTAAGAAAATCACTCATTGGCAATGGAGAGCCAAGGGTGGTTTTTGACCAACAGTAACATGATAAGAACTTTGAACACATAATCTGACGGCAGTATGCAAAACAAATCAGCAGAAGGAGAGCCTGAATGCAGAGCCTTCAGGTAAGAGGAGTCAAGAGAACAGAAGATGTGGGATAGGTCAAGGGGACTGGGCATGTGGGAGGTGAGATGAGGAGTCGGGAATAACTCCACTTTCTGGGTTGAGTCACTGGAATTTACAGTGATGCCATTAAAAAGGGACACAAGAGGAAGAACAGGTTTGGGAAGGAAAGATGTGGAGTTGAGTTTCTTAGACACTACATTTGAGCGACAGCACCCATGTTCCCTCAGGCCCCATGCAGCCCCAGGGAGGCAACGTGTATGCTGATGCCCAATGCTTCCCCTCACCTGACTACTTGCTGTTAAGTTGCCTGAACACTCCAAGCAGTTATGGTAGGCGCTATAGCAGATGATGGGCTCTGGCAGGCTCTCCAGGAAGAGCAGCAAGGCTTCAGCTACGGAATGACTGCTAGCAGCTTTTGGCTCATCGTTAAGGAACAGGCGATGCTGCTGCCCATGGTTAGGAAAAGGCTCGGGAGTGAGCATGTGCCAAAAAGTGCTGTCTGCCCAGCCAGGCTCCCTGCTCAGAGCTAGAATGCCAGCCTGACATCCTGGAGGAGCCAAGCTATTTGCCAGTTTCCCTGGGCTTTCCTGAGTTCCTGCTATATTGTTTGCTTAAAGTTGTAAAGTTTTCTCTATGCAAACTTTAGGTAAGAAAAACATGATATCTGAGGACATAATATCTGATTTTGAGCCTTAAAGTATTACTCTTTCCTTTTTCTCACTTCTTCTACTCATATTCTCTCTCTCTCTTTGTCATGTACACACATGAAGTGTCTGAAGGATACAGAGGGATTCAATCATTCCAGTATCCAAACAGTCTCTGATATGCTCAAATTCCGACCTCAGGCCTGGCTGCTGAAACAGATCTTCCTGCAAAAGGGAAGAAAGTCACAAAATCATTATATTCTCAGAAAATCAGCAATGATTTCCTTACCTAAAAATATAATTGGAGCTGAGTACAAAAAGGAGCAGTATAGAAAGGTCTTTGAATCACCTGGTAGACAATCTGATATATATTCAGGCCAATGTAGCTAATTCATCTTAGAGGCCTTTTCAGGCATGCTTCCACAATAGATCTTCATAGAGTGATAAGACATCTATTATAAAACGATGGGTGGGGCATACTACACACAACAGTAAGAACCATCATAAGAGAAAACTTAAAAGTATCTGTGTTAACCTGAAGGAAATATACCATTTATAAGATGGAGAAAGTAAAAAGGTACAAGACTATAGCAATAAAGGGATTTCCATTAGTCCAGGATACTTTACATTTGTTTTATCAAATGTCTTAATGCTATATAACTATGAATAACAATATCATATATTTTGCTCAAAAGTTATACCTGAAAGGAGCTTTGTAGAGAAGGTAAAATAACACAGTACTTAAGGATATGACTTCTACAGCCAGAATCCTTGGGTTCAAATCCTAATCCTGCCCATTTATCAGCTGTGGAACCTTGACCAAGTTACTTAACCTTTGTGAGCATGTGTCTCTTCATCTGAGAGCTACTGTGAGAATGAAATGAGGCAATGCTGTTAAACACTTAGAATAGTGTTTGGTACATTGTAACACTAAATAAATGTGAGGGAGAAAATGAAAAGACAGTATCATAACTATGTGTGGTGCTCCAAAGTGGCAGAGCTGTGGCAGATTTCAGTTTGTATTGGTCTGCTTGGGGCCTACATTGGTGAGTCTGAGAAACTGGCCCATCTGATCTCATGAAGCTTTCCCAAGTCAGCATCTCATCAGGCTCCTGACTCATGACTCCTGGGTCATGGCCTGGAGACTCCATCTGGCCCCCTGCCTCTCTCTGGCTTGTCCTATTCCCAGAAGTTGGCAAGAGTTCTTCAAAAGAAGAGCAGGATGACATCCAGAGGAGTCTCCAGAGCTTTCTACCTGAGCGGCCCCAGAGGCCAGGGGAGGGAGCATGCTGTTCTGGGAAGGCCACCCTGCACAAGGCTGTTTCCCTTGGGAATAATCAAGGCCTGTGCAAAATAGCAGGGTCTTACAGGGGTACGAAATTAATCTATCCCTCAGGTGCTCCCTGGGGGAAGAAGGCTTTCCATAGGTTCCCTGGGGTAAAAGCTTCTTATACCAAAAGTTCTTACGGTTGATGATCTTTCTCAAGGCTGCCTGGCCTCAATCAGCTCTGACTTCTTAGCCACCACCTACCTGCTGGGCAGCATTTTGGTACAGGTAATCAACCATCATCCAAAGTTCTTTGGGGATGTCCATGGGGTTCTCCAACTGGCTCCCACCATCTTCAGTCTGCAGGGGCATCAGAGTCTGAAAATAAATAAAAATCATAAGAAAGCCCAACAATAGAACTTCTACCAGGCTGGCTTCAGAATGCATGATATGGGGACAGCAAACCGTGGAAGGAGGAAACATTTCAATGCCCCTAGGCAAACATTCCACAGGCAAATAAAAAGGTACAAAAGGAGACTTTTGAGAATTGGGAGTGGGTTATGACAGCAGCTTCAATGAAGCAGGTGAAATAGAAATCATCTTTGGAAAAAACACCCTGCCTATAGCATTTCCCTGTCAGAACCAGAGACAGTGTGGTCTGGTGAGGAAAAAATGGACTTGAGAGCCCAAAAACCTGAGTGCAAAATCCAAGCCCACTGTTAACTCACCAAGTGACCCATAACAAATCACTTTCCTTATTGGGCCTCTATAATGGAGAGGAGAGAGATCAAGAGTCCCTAAATGAAAAAAAAACACATCGGAGTGGGAAAAAAGCACACATTACTGCAAATCAGCTCCAAACTAGCTCTGTGTTTTAGAATTGTCACCATAGGAGTCTTCTAGATCCCAGGAAATTTAGTTTGGGATGAAAAATGATGATTAAAACATTTAAAAAAGGAGTAATTTCATGGGCCAGGGAACCTCCATATCCTCACAGCCACGGCTGAGTTTCTCTATGTACCATGTATGAAAGACTGAAAAACATGGCCACACCATTTTGCATCTCTTCCCATTAAGAAGTGCAATCTTTCTCCACTCCTAGAATCTGGGCTGACTTCACAACTTGATTGCAACTGCACAAATGGTCCTAGGCAAGACCAGCAGAAGAGCCACACTGGAGACTCAGAGACATGAGAGGCAGTAACTTGCTGTTGTAAAGCACTAAAATTTCAGGGTGGTTTGTTACACAACAATAGATAACTGCTAGAGAAAGCAAGCTCTAGGGAGGCTGAAGAATTCCCAGGTCCCTGGGGAGGTAGGCATAGGAATATCTTGTTAGACTGGCCTGGCTGCCACACAGTTCTAGGTGTTGCCTTGTGGCATGTAACTCACCAGCTCTCTAATGGTTTCTAGTGGCAGGTTTAAGACTGGCTCCCTCATGTAGCACAGTGTATGAATGGGAGATCCAAAACAGCTGGGCAGGTAGTTCCCAGACACAGACAAAAAGTAATCCTTCCCCCTCTCCAAGTGCAAAACCAGAATGTCCTCAATTTTGTCTTCACCCGAGTTGAGCTTTGTAGCCGTGGTCTTATTTACAAATAGCTCCAATTCGATCTCAATGGCTGAATCTGAAGAAAAATTTAAAAAGTAATGTTGGCTGGTGGGAGGCCAAGAGAAAAGGGTAAAAGAGGACAAGAAGGAAGAAGGTCAGGCACAAAGGGTTAGGGAAAAGGAAGTAAGAGGCATCAGTCGGCCGACAAGTATATATGTGCTCAACACTCAGGAGACACATGAACAAGGAGTTTATAGTCCAAGTGGGAATATGAAAACAACACACCAAACATGTGAACAGGCAATTGCTAGAAGATTCAAGTACCAGACAGCATAGCTCAAACTAGAAGTATTAATAAAATAAGAAGGCATGGATCAAAGAGCTTGCCCTTAGCCAGGTCAGGTGAAGATACCTGATCCAGGATGAAATAAAATGCAAGGATCAGCCTGTGAATTGTCCACAAAACAGGCTTAATCCCTCTGCCACACAGCACAACCCAGAGTGCAGAGAAGTCAGGGGAAAGACATGGATGGTACATTCCAGGGCCAGATAGAATTTCTGGATTACCAGCCAAGTATCTTTCCCCACAAGATCAGATGGTTGGGAGTTGATTATAGTGAGGCAGACAGTACAAATGGTTCCTTTACTAGCAGACCTGCTTCGCAGCAATCTTACATTTCTTTTTCCTTGAAATGATGGAGCATGGACATTACTGTGAAGGATTTTTAAACTAAACTCATGCCCCTCATTACATTTTATTTATGGGTAGTTCATCCACAGGGCTTTCTAAAAGTTTCTTTCTGACAACAAAACACTCAGAAACAAAAAGCTTATATTAGGAAAATGAGCAGACAGAGTAGGGTCCCCCAAACCAGCAACCAGGAAGCTGGGAGCAGAGGCCTTACCTGGCAGGAGGAACCCTCTGCTGGGGTTGACATTCAGCCACTGCTTACAGTAAGACGTTTCATCAGGCTTGTTGATGAATTCAAACTGACAGGGCACTTGTCCATTATGAATTGTAAAGGACTCTACTTGCAATTGCATATACTTCACATTCTGAAAACAGAACTGGGAACAAGCCCAGGACAGTCAGACCAGGACCCTCTTTTCAGCCACCTGCCTAGCCACCCTTACTGAGCAATCCTTACCCTTTCTGGAAAGAAAACAAAGAACCATCTCTTTCAAATCATCTTTCTGCTTTAAGGATTTAGCTGGGAGGCCACAGCTACCACTAAAGACCAGTTGTCTATGTTTTACTCAGAAACCCCAAAACTAAAAAAACTCATGTTGTATTAGAAACAAATTTCCTAAAGGAACCAACATTTAAATCTTCTATATCCAAAGACCATTTCCAAAACACCCTTCACAAACTCAACCCTCAAACACAAAGACCAAGCTCATCCTTCCCTCTAGATAGACATCTAGGGCATTAAAAGCCCTCACCATAAATCCCAATTTGATTGTCTTCTTTGAACTGCCAGTTCTGAATGACCTATTCTGTGGCTCTTCCATGAAAACTCTTGAGCCCTAACTTGACTTCTCTCCCACTACCCATTGCTTTTCTATATGGCCACACCTCCCTTCAATTTATGCATATCTAAGAAATTCAGACTCATTTTAATCTTGTCAGAGCAAAGCAGCAGTAGGAAGAAAAAGGCATTGGAAGAATACACACCAGTTATAATAAAATCAAACAAAACACATTTTGAATAGGCTAAGCCATTGCTTAACTCACGAACAGCCAATTTGCGGTTGAAATATCTGAGCCACAAAAGGTTAAAGACTTTTGAGAATGGAGATGAACACAGTCTAAACCAACAAAACCTGTGTTCTCAGCTAGCACTATCAGCCTTGTTTTATCTAGAAGCAGCCAATCAAGAAAGACGATAGCAGCAGTCTGATAGGTGCCCCCTGAAATTCTGAGCTCTCATAGGTGAGATGTAAGTTCTATGTGTAGAAAAGCCTAATGCCAATATTTTAGGCATGTCCTCCCTACCTCTCTCTTGGAGAGGGACACAGAAGGGATGTTGGCATTTTCCATCTTATCCAGGGAGCGGACAATCTCCTCCAGAGTTTTTCGGTAAAGCTCTTCATTTATGACCTTCACCTGTAAGGGAAACATCAGACCCTGAGTGCTGTGGCCTCTGCCCCTCTCCTCTTTATCAGTAAAGAGGACATTCACAGCATTGGGAAATAGCAGTTAATTAGCCACACAGAAAGTGAGGACTATATCAATTGAAACAATTACCAGAGAACCTAAATTAACAACAGACATAGGAAGGTCCCCCAGTGGCAAAGCCTGTGGTAAAGCCAACTGCTTCCTGATTACCAGAAAGAAGACGTGGGGGTGAAAGCCTAGTTGGCATCTCTGCCAGGCCTTATGCCCAGGGCAGCAAGACACTCAGTGCCCAGCTCTACTCTGCTTGCTGCAGCCACAGGCCTGCACTGAAAAACTTTTCAAGCTTTATGAACCTGGTGCTCTACCAGCCAAGAAGATTTTGTCAGGCTTTGCCTTCTGTATTTTGGATTGTAAACACAATTTTTGTCATTTTCCAATAATGAAACTTTAATCATAACATTCATTAGGCTTTTTTCAAACCGCCCACACCCTTATAGATTCTGATAAGCACTCTTGAGAATTGGTAGTATAAAGAATTGCAGAAGTCACTGAAAAAAGATACAAACAATTAATAAATGAAGAGATGTTTGGCCTCACTAGTCATCAGGGAAATGTAATCTACAAGAATGAAATACCTTTTTCTTTTGGTTCATTGATTTGGTAGCAATTTAAAAAACTGATAAAATTCAGTATTAGCCAGAGTGTGGGAAAGTACCCTCATACCTGGTTGGCAGAAGTGTAAAATGTAAGGGCTACTGGAAGGATAATTTAGCAGGATCTAGTAAACTTAAAATACATTTTTCTTTTAATGACTAATTTCTCCTCCAGAATTTCACTCTACAGAAATAACACTGATACACAGAAATATGTGAAAGGTGGTCACTATAGCACTGCTACAATAGCAAAACTTTGGAAACATTGATATTACAGATAATGGTTCACCCATTCTATGGAATATTTCATAACCTTTAAAAATATTAAAGGAAGGAGCTATACCTTTACTGACATGGGAAGATCTCCTAAGACATAGTCAGGGGGGGAAAAAAAGATGTTCTCAGAACAGTACGCATAATATGATCTCTTTTACAAAAAAAGGAAAACATCCTCTGTGTTGTGTACAGAATACTGACACACTCATTTATGAATGCATAGTAAATGGTCTGGAAAAGCAAAAGTCCAAGGAGTCAAAAAAAAGTCCAAAAAGCATAGAGGAACTTCCACATATGTAGAAATATACATAAGTTCTCAAAAACAATCATGAATTAAATTTAACTTAAAATAACTTTTTAAAGGTGCTTCCTCACTCTTGAGGGGAGAAGAAGAGACCAGAAAGGCAAGGGTGGCTTTGGTTCTAAGAACCAGTTCCTACAAAATGGTCACAACAGGTGTCAGCTTCCCACCTACCCCAATGTCAAACACTGAGCTGACAGGCTTGTGGTCACTGGTCTTCAGGGCCATGTGGCTCTGGTAACTCAGCTGAGTGATGTTCTTCCCCTTCCAGAGGACCCGGTCACACCAGGCGGGAGCACGACACTTCTCACTGAAATACAAAGTCCACCCTGCGGCCCTCACAGGCACCACAGTACCCACTGCTCAACTAGCGCCCTGGCTCAGATGGGGAATGATGGGGCAGAGCTTGCAAGTCCATGTGGTGCAATGATCTGAGGGAAGGAGACATCTGGGCCCAGTGAGGGATAACATACAGCCGATGGTTATCAGCCAAAACACTGCTCAGAAGGATTCTCTGCTCTTGACCCTCCTCCTAAGGGGATCAGGTGAGAGTCAAAAAGGCAACCTGAGAGTAAGTACTCCACAGTCCTTAAAAGACGGTGGTTAAAACAGGCTCAGAATCCTACTGCCCAGGTTCAAATCCTGGCTCTACACTTGGCTGCTCTGGAGGCTCTTTAATTTTACTACGCCTCAATTCCCCAATCTATAAAATGAGAATAGTAAGACATACTTATTTCAGTGGGTTGTTCAGAAGATTAAATGAGATAATACAAGTAAAGCATATTGAATAGTGTGTGCCAATCCGTAAGCACTAATAAAAAAATATGAAATGACCAAGCACAAGTTAAGTTAGTTGGAATCACTGTATTACCCACCCTAGGCATTCCTGAAGAATAAATTAGCCTTAAGAATGACTATGCAACAAAGGTTAAGGCAGCCAAAAGAAAACATGTAGGAAGGCAGGCTGCTTAGTGAGCAGACACTGAGAGAAAATGTCTGACCAGAGTGCAAAAGAGGGGGCAGAAGTCACAGGAAACTTATCTTCCTCTGTAGGTCCATGAGGGCAAATGCTTTACTAAATTTCTGGGTTGCCATTAGTTCAATCCCCTGGAGCAACTTCTGACCTACCTGGTATCCCAGTCATCAGAGCCAGGATCATACTTATAGGTAGGCTGGAATGTGAGCTCGCCTTCTGTAAAGCCTTCAAATACAACTTTTGCGGCCACCTGGGTTTTCAGCTATACAAAAGGAAAAAAAAAAATCTCAGAATAAAATGGTCAAACCCTGAATTATCAGAAGAAAGGAAATCAATCTGGCACCTAAATCCTAACCCACAGAAAAAGGCCCATGAGACAGCTATTCTGCAAGATCTTGAGTTAACTAACTTCTAGGAAGAGGAGCAAGCTGAGCACCCCTTCACCTGCTGTAGTTTTTAGGCTCTTTTCTAGGAGTGTACTTGCATCCAGGGGGCCTGAGTACCATCCTGCTGAGATGCCCCTAAGAGGATTAAGTACCACAGAGTTTTTCCCTTTCAAGTAGCAAACACTTCAGCTGTGTAGCACAGTTGTTCCAGTTAAACAGAAAAATTGAACTGCACAAAAAAAAAGGTCCAAAAGACACCATCCAAAGAGCAAAGGGGAACTTCCATGTAAGTAGGAATATACAGTAGAAGTATCCCGAAACAACTATGAATTCAATTTTAAATCAAAACAATTTTTTAAAGGAGTTTGTCAAATTCATTACACGACCTTGGGGAGGAGCTCTGTACCTTGGTTTCCCCATCTGTAAATTTTGGATATTTTGGATTTGTAACAGAATCCACCTCACAGGATTGTTGGAAAGATAAACTGTCGACTTAGAACAGTGCCTGACATGTTATGATAATAGCCAACATACTTCTTACTGCACTAATTCTAGGAGCTCCTTCCAGATCATACTCCAAACAAGAGATAAAAACCACAGGGGTTCCTGCCTCTTCCCTGGAGCACCAAATTTGGCACTGTGTGGACCGGTGAAGAACTGGCAGCTCTAATTTTGGAGACACGGTCAGCTACCCAGGGCACAACAGTTGCCAAATTCCCTAGGACATGAATCCCTAAAAAATCTATTAAGGAAAAAGCAACAAGAAATAATAAAAATTTAGGCGTTAATGTAAGATGATTCTTAAATGGGTATATATATATATACTTTAAAACCACATGGCAAGCAGAGAACACACCAAATGGGTACTGTTACTTGAGGAAAGACCAGAAAAGAAGGCAAGAGGAGATGGGTATTAAATGACCAGGGAAATTAGAATGACTCAGTACAGAATATAGAGGCAGTAAACAGTTACAGAACAAAATGGGTTTATGCTGAAATGGGAATTAAAGAGAATTAAAGTAATTTAACAAGGAAAAGAACTGGAGAGAAAAATGTGGCAATTTTTCAATTGCTCTTCACCAGGGGGAGAAAAGTAACAGAAAGATTTAGACTAATGACAGTACAAAGGTTATTAAAAGAGACTAAATACAGACTAAAAAGAAGGACTTCAACATTCTGAACAACTCTGACTACTTGAACAGTTATGGAATCTCCTGAGAGGTATAGACTGAAGGAAGTCAGAGAGAAACAGATGCCTCCTGTCCTGTCAAATGGCTAATGCTTTCAGAAAGAAACGCCGACCCAAACAACAGGGCAGAACAGCAGGTTACAGAACTCATTTCTGTCGGAAGTGAAGAAAGCCACTCACGAAAGAGCTATCATTTACACTGGACAAGTCTGGTGAGGAGCAGGACAGGGGAGCTGAGGTTCACTCAAAAAATTAGTAATCATCTTAAATATACCAAATATACCAAGTTTTCTTCTTTATGAGAAGCTTGGTACCCTTTTAGCCCCAACTTGAATGAATAAATGAGCACATGGGAAAGAGAGAAACAGAGACAGAACACACTTGCTCTCAAGAACACAGGGTGCCTCATGGGAAAAACCAGTGGGGAGACAGCTCAGGAAGAGGGAAATGCACATGAAAGGAAGAAAGGACTGGATATCAGCTTGTCAGAAGTGCCTCCCCAGCTGAGGAAGAGGCCACGCACAGCTGACTAAAGAGGGCCCAGGTGGCCATCTGTACCTGATCATATGCATACAGGTTTTGAAAGGCCTTCTCTTCGATGAGCTTTTTCACTTTTTCCACATCCAGCTCTTCTATCCTGTAGTTGAGGTCCCCCAGCCACAAGATCACACTGTGAGGACAGAGCACAAAGGTTACAGGGTTTAGGAGGGACTTTACCCATCCTGCCCAATGTGCTTCTGACAGAAGGCCCCCAAGGCTCAGCTCCCTGGGAAGTGTGTGGGGCAGTGGCTCAGCTGTGCAGGAAATCCTTCCCTTGCCATCCCATTTAATACCATTTCTAACATGCTGCTTACTCAGTTATCTTGGTCCAGGCTCATTATAAACAGCCTTGAGTTCTTCTTGACTATTCTACTCTTGTTGGAAACATAACCTGGTAAGATCTAAAATGAATGAATGACAGTAATTCATTCATCAAGACAATAATTCAGGCAGAAAAGAGCCAGTATTGGGAGCTGTGTCAATCACTCGGGGACCCCAAACCAGATGATGCCATGATGTTGCCTCTCCCTCCATGCACCTTCTAGTCCACAAGACACACTCTCAGCCTTTGTTTCTAAAGCTAAGTTCCTCTGAAACAAGCTCAACCTTGACAGTGGAGTCTGGGTTTACCCACCACTGTTATCATCAGTTGGCTCTTTTTGCAACTGTGACATGTGTTTTATTAATACACCTGCTGCTTTGGGAAAAAGGTAACTGCATGCCCCCAGATGACATCAGACATCCCATAAAGTTCAATACTGCTCTACCGGAAGCCAACAGCCAGGTCGTTAGAGAATCTACCAGCAGTACACACACACCAAGTAAATGCATCCACAAGCTAATGCAATAAAATGACATGCAGGCTGCAACCTCAGAAACTAGGATAATGCTGGTCCAGCAGAACAGAAGACACATTCCCTGCTAGGGTCCCTGGAGAAGGAAAGCCATCCTGTCAGCTTCCAGAACACCAGTGAGCTCAAGACAGTTCCACCACCGAAGCAAGCAGGCTGAGAGGCTTGACTCCCTGGCAGACACCATGGCCCCAGTGGCTTCTTCCTTTTTATAAAAGAAGTGGCACAAGCTTCAAGTGTTACTGTAGAGCCTGGGATTCTAATATGCCTTGAATTTAAACATATAGGAAGTTTTAGAGATAAACAATATAAAGAGAACAGGCATTAGCACAAGGTGCTCCAAGCAGCTGCAACCACACCTCTGTAAAGCAGAATCAAGCAGTAGAAAAGACTAAGTGAGGGCAGACAAATGCAGTCCAATCTTGTCACATGTGCTTCTGGAAAGAACAGATGTACAAAATTCTAACACATACTTCTAAAACTTGGGTTTTAGAAGCTCGCTCTGGGTGCTTTCCTCATGACATTGTATCAAGGCAGACCCTATTAAGCTAAATTTTATACATTTGCTAGGGACAAATGATGCTTAAGAAAGATTCTAGAGGTCTGCCAGATGATAAGTTAGGAAACTAAACATTTCCAAGGGACACAATTTATGTGGGACGGAGAGCTGGCCAGAACTGCCGCTCCAGCAGCAGGAAGCCTGCACCAGTTACCCCTCTGCCAGGAGAGAGAACCCCCAGCTCTGGGCTTCAGGCATGGTGGACTGTTCAGGAAAAAAGCCCAGACTCACTCGTGCTTGCTGATGGTGAGAGGGGGGAGGCTTGGGTCAACCTGACGGAAGTGCATTCGAGAACAAATGTCCTTGTAGTCCTGGTTCCTTCTCTCGCACTCCTCAGTGTGGGCTGCCAAGTGAGAATTCACAACGCAGATGCTGGTGTTGTGGAACTGGAACCTGATCGCCACTCCTCCTTTGTTACCCTAAGGGAAGGAACCCCCAAAACCCCCGTTCTCAACTTAACTGTGGCAGTCATTTCAACCTGCCAACTCTCATCAGACATCCCATAAAGTTCAATACTGCTCTACCGGAAGCCAACAGCCAGGTCGTTAGAGAATCTACCAGCAGTACACACACACCAAGTAAATGCATCCACAAGCTAATGCAATAAAATGACATGCAGGCTGCAACCTCAGAAACTAGGATAATGCTGGTCCAGCAGAACAGAAGACACATTCCCTGCTAGGGTCCCTGGAGAAGGAAAGCCATCCTGTCAGCTTCCAGAACACCAGTGAGCTCAAGACAGTTCCACCACCGAAGCAAGCAGGCTGAGAGGCTTGACTCCCTGGCAGACACCATGGCCCCAGTGGCTTCTTCCTTTTTATAAAAGAAGTGGCACAAGCTTCAAGTGTTACTGTAGAGCCTGGGATTCTAATATGCCTTGAATTTAAACATATAGGAAGTTTTAGAGATAAACAATATAAAGAGAACAGGCATTAGCACAAGGTGCTCCAAGCAGCTGCAACCACACCTCTGTAAAGCAGAATCAAGCAGTAGAAAAGACTAAGTGAGGGCAGACAAATGCAGTCCAATCTTGTCACATGTGCTTCTGGAAAGAACAGATGTACAAAATTCTAACACATACTTCTAAAACTTGGGTTTTAGAAGCTCGCTCTGGGTGCTTTCCTCATGACATTGTATCAAGGCAGACCCTATTAAGCTAAATTTTATACATTTGCTAGGGACAAATGATGCTTAAGAAAGATTCTAGAGGTCTGCCAGATGATAAGTTAGGAAACTAAACATTTCCAAGGGACACAATTTATGTGGGACGGAGAGCTGGCCAGAACTGCCGCTCCAGCAGCAGGAAGCCTGCACCAGTTACCCCTCTGCCAGGAGAGAGAACCCCCAGCTCTGGGCTTCAGGCATGGTGGACTGTTCAGGAAAAAAGCCCAGACTCACTCGTGCTTGCTGATGGTGAGAGGGGGGAGGCTTGGGTCAACCTGACGGAAGTGCATTCGAGAACAAATGTCCTTGTAGTCCTGGTTCCTTCTCTCGCACTCCTCAGTGTGGGCTGCCAAGTGAGAATTCACAACGCAGATGCTGGTGTTGTGGAACTGGAACCTGATCGCCACTCCTCCTTTGTTACCCTAAGGGAAGGAACCCCCAAAACCCCCGTTCTCAACTTAACTGTGGCAGTCATTTCAACCTGCCAACTCTCAAAATGTTCTCCCTTCATTAACCTTCATAATAATCCTGTGAGGTAAGTGAAGCACCATTACTGTCTGTATTTTACAAGGAAGAAAATAAATCCAAGAAGGAAGAATGACTAGTCAGCCAGTGGTAAAGCTGAGGCCACGAAGCCACAGGCAAACCACATGCCCTGCCTTCTCTACAGGAAGCTAAGGTCTTGCAGTAGAACTTAAACACAGAATTTTAAGAGCCTCAAGAAGTAGACAAAATTGCAAACCTATTGTCAGCATTCTTTTTCTTCCTTGGTGACCCAATATAGTTCCTGCAACATAGTTCATGGATTAAGTGGGAGGATGGTGTAGAGGCTCTGGTGCGGAGAGAACACAGGCATACGTGCACATCAGCCAGTGGCTCACTAAAACATGACTTCCACATGGTGTGCTTGATCTAGCCCTGCTTGAGGGTACACTTCATGTTGTAACACCAGCACCCTCAAGCTGTGATACAGGCAGTCATGGTGTCATGAAAGGCGGGGTCAAAACCTTAGGGACCTGGGCCAAACATACCAACCCGAAACTCACCATCCTCCCCATGATTCCCGTCCCCACAGTCTCAGCTTCCACTTCTGAGATGTATGCCGCATGTTCCTGCCTGACATACAACAGCAGCATGATCCCAACTAGCCGAATGAGCTTCACCTGGAAAACAGAGTCAAACATTCAATTGATAGCATTAAACAGAAATCGAAAACAGGAATAAACATCTCAAAGGAAAAGTAGTCTTGAAACTGGCAGAGAATACGAATGCCTCTCCCTCTCCACACTAGGATACAGGGCAATCACCTGTCCAAGAATGCCACACGATACCCTCAACAGCCTACAAGCACCAAGACCTGCACCTTCCCCACCCATCAGTGCCTCTTCTGGAGGACTTAAAACTGACAACAGCAGGATCATTAGGACTGGCTGATGGTAAAGGCCACGGAAAAAGTGAAAAATTGTCTTAGAATTTCCCTGCATGGCAATGCTAAATTAAAAGGTCCCTGATTCTCTCCTACCTTTGCATACTTGGCATCTGGATGAAGACTCTCTGATACAGCTTTAAACCACTCTTCCTCTCTGGAGGTATCATGGAAGAAAAAGGCTTCCTTACTCAGATCAAGCTCCTGAAACCTATTAGGAGAAGCAACCAATCAGATAGTAGAGAAAGATAAGGTGCCTAGTAACATTCTCAGATCAGTTTAGGTACGTAAACCCCAGCTTTCTAGCTAAGCTGCAGGACCCTCCAGAGGGAAGAAAAGTCAACACTTAGAGCTGAGGTGCCAAATGCTAAGAACTCAGCAGTGCTTTCACAGGGAGCAGGCTGGTCCTGCTTCATAATCAGCCTGTGAAACAGTTGGAAGCATCTCCATTTTACATCTGAGGTCACTAGTTCACACAAGCACCAAATGGCAAAGTAGGGTTCAGACCTGGGTATCTGTAAATTCCCAATTCTAGGTCCTTTCCATTTTACCACACATGCTTCCCCCTATCCCCTCCCCACTGACAGTGCCCAGTACAGCAGGAAGAAGATAGGGAGTGTGACAAAAAAAAGCTAACCTTCCTTCCCTGGAAAAAGATATTTTTGCTTTGGTTTTAACAGAGGGCTGCACTAAAAATTAAATAACAGCATTTAAATGCCAAGCACATCACTTTAATAGTGCCAGGAATTTGTTTCCTATGAGGAAGAACATCAAACTGAGAAGCAGCTGCTATTGAGCACATGCTCATTTCTCAATTCCTCCAGCTGCTGTGAAGGCTCATACAGTCACATCCTCATCCCTTCAACCACAGCTACATGTTCCTGAGGTCGTGGAGGCAACGGGAAGAAAAGCACTCACCCTACACAGTACACATCTGGCGCCTGGATACAGTGGCTTAGCCAGGGCCTGAGGCATTCTTTGGGGGACTGTCCATTCACATTGTATGTTCCCACAAAACACCTGTCATCAAAAAGAATCAACCAGTCACTTGGGAAGACTACAGACATAACAGAGGAAAGCATTTTATATTATATTTGCCTGGTTTCAGTCTCTCTTGGGTGGAATTTCAAGACATAGGAAATGTTGCATCTAACCTAGGCTGTGGCACCAAGGGGCAACTTGCAGTCTGCCATGGTTTTGCGGCTTTTGTGTAATTTCAAACAGTACAGGCCTACTCTGAACATCCCTACTTAGCGTTAACAGCCACTAGAGAGTCGTAACCCAGAAAATGATTCTTTACCCTCTGTATGCTAACATAGAGAAAAAAATGTAAAGTACCTTGGTCATTACTTTGGGAAGGAAAGCCACACCGGTGTCTGCGTCACTGACTGTTGATGACCCTGGAAGCAGTGGTACTTTGCCTTGCAGCCCCAGTGCGAAGATTTTAAAAGATCTAACAGCATCCTGCAACCTTTATTCATTCATTTAACTGTCAATAATCCTGTCTAAAAGGATTACCAAACGCTAGTTTGATTTTACTAACTTCAATTTAAATGACTTTCTTCAAAAGCCCAGAATGACCAAGGGATATACAAAAGTCAGGAGATCGTGGCCTCTTCTGTACCATGTATCTCTTCAAATACTTGTGTGACTATTTTCAAGTTGTGTCACTCCCATTATACCACACCTACCACAGTGACTAGATAGGAAAGTAACTAAATAAATGCCTTTTTATGAAGAGCCAAAGGAATCTCTCATGTAGGAAGTGATGGGAAGGATTCTGTTGAAGGATATGCTCCCAAATCCAGGGCATGGGGGTTGGGGGCAGTGCTCAAGTTTCAGAGGGCTGAAGAAGGATCATGCTGCTCTGAGATGAGTCTAAGACCTAATTGGCTACCTGAAGTTCTGGATATATGTATAATCCTCTTCTTTCTGCAGTAGATGTGATTTCACTATTGTATCTCGTAGTCCAAACTTCTGCATCGACAAAATATGAGCCTTGTCTGATACTGTGATGGTGGAGGAGCGAACCATGTCAGTAATTTCAGACTTGGATTTATTCTGTCTAGAAAAACAAATAGAAATTTATCATATTTTGTTGAGTCCTCCGTGGCAAAATACATGAACGTAAGGCTAGACGCTTCCACACACAAGTGTCTGAATCACAGAAGTCTAAAGGAAGCCAAAGTAAAACATACTTAGTAAAACAACACTGCTTTTATTTGGAATTAAGTAAGCTTATATGTTGTTGAATGTATAGTACATTGCCCAGAGACTTTCAGAGGACAGGTTCATATAATCTCAGACCAGAGGGGACCTTGAAGTAATCTAATAGAAACCCTTCCTTTTTCAAATAAGAAAAATGAAACCCAGCATCACCAATGACCCATCCAGCCGGACGGTGGCAGAGTGAGGATCAGAACCCAGATCTAAGAGTGTTCCTTCAGGCCCTAGTGCCTCTTGTAAAAAGACTATAAAAACATCCAGATCCTTTGACTCGGTAACTCTACTGTGTCTCTATTCCACAGGAATAATCTGAAATAAAACACGGGGCAATGAAAATTTGTATTTCATTATTATTTATGTAGTTTCATTTATTTGTTTTCATTATTTCTTCTTTTTTTGTTGTTTTGTTACTTTTTTTGGTTCTTTCTGTTTTACTGCCACTATTATTTGCATAGTTTTAATACTCATACTAAAAATTATTCAAATGCCAACATTTAAAGTTAAGCAAAATTTGATATATTTACCTAAAAGAATCTTAAGAGCTCAAGAAACTTTTGTTGAAGATTAGTTAATGAACAAGATAGATAAAACACTTGGAACAATGCTGACACTAAATAAATGCCACGTATTTGATATTATATTGTTATGTACATATGAATTAAAGCTATGTAAATATGTATCAATGTATAGCAGAAAGGCTCAAAAGTGAACTAAAAATGATAGAGCTAGCTACATTTAACATATTCCGGTATTGTTCATTGCTGGTTAGGTGCATAATTAAAATACACAGTAAGACAGCTTTTATCTTGACCAAATGATTCTAGCTATGATCACTAGGGGGCTCTGGAGTACAGAACAAATAAGGCACATCAGGAAAAAGAAAGGACAAATAAAAACAAAAAGGGACTATCTACAAAGTCAGGAAACTCCTAAAAAGAATGGGAGGGAGAAATCAAATGTTCTAATCATATCTATTTATAGGCAGGGTTAGACCACTAGTTTCAAGTCCTAGATCTGCTACTTGCTAGTTCTGGATCTTGGGTATGTTATATAAAGTCTCTTCCCCTGTTTCCTCAGCTGTAAAACAAAAAATAATAGTACCTAGTCTAGCTATTAGGTTAAAGTAAGATAATCCATGTAAGCACATGGTGCCTAGCATACACAGTAAATGCTCAATATGTGTCCAACATTACTTAAGCCAGCAACCCTGGGACAACTTACATCATGCACAATAATGGTCTCAGGTTCTATAATGAGGAAAACTAGGCCTTAAGAGGTACACATGAAGGGAGAGCTGTCTTACCTTGTGAGCGAGTTTTCTGGTTTATCCTGACCCCAGGAGCTATGGTCCACAAGCAGCAGGCCTTTCCCATTTGGCCTTGAACAGTCAAAGTGAGAAACACCTAAGGGGAGGGGGAAGAAATTAAAATACACTTACAGACACTTTAACATACACACCACAGCTGCTCAAATTGTAGACCAGGAATTACTGGTGGTCCACAGACTGCCTGAAAACATAGCAAAGGCTTATCCTGGTGTCTGGGTGAAGTTTCCTTCCACATGCATACAAAGGGGGTGTGGTGGGGGGAGGACTTCATGCAGGTATCTCCACTGCTGAACACATAACTCCTCCAGCCAGTCGGACTCCCTTCTCGTAGAGACAGATCGCATTATAGAAAGCATGACACTATGAAATCTGCAGACCTGAGTATTATCACAAGCTCAACTATTTATTGGACCTTTTTACTCTGGGCAAGGCATCCACTCTCTCTTAATCTCAGTAACTTGACCTGTGCTGCTTTCCACTCAGGTTTATGGTAGGGATCAAAGATTGACAGTGAGCGAGCAGTCTGAAAGCCATAGAATATATTATAAAATATAAGATAGTGATTGTATTACCATGTACTGCAAGGGAGACTTTAGCTCCAAGGAGGAAAGAGATCTAAAACTGGAAAGGTCAAAGTGCTCTAGAGAATGAGAAGTCCTCGTTGTTGTCAACAGATTGTCCTGAAAACCAAAGGCCTGAGGACTTGCCACAAATCAGGATTTTGGGACAGCTGTTAAACCAAGATAAACCTGAAACGGACAGTTATCTGCCACTAGGTTCTCTGCTCCTTAAAAGCCAAATCTCTTGTCAACAGGAGGCAGCATGAAGAGGCCTCAAAAAATGCTGCTTTAAATACAGAGGTTCCAAGGAGCACTGACAGGTGCAACATCCCTAAGGAATTTTGCTCTGAAGACTATTGTTGAACAAGGGCTTTTCAATCACACATCCACATGAACCAGGAAAAACAGATTTTGGAGTTGAAAAAGAAAACACAATCATCTGCAACATGAAAATAATTATATTTCAATGCCCCCAGTCAATCACCAAGGCCTTTCCATGTTGATACTTAAATGCCTCTCAAATCAATATATTCCTGTTCCCAATGTCACTATCCTAGTTCACGCTACCAACATCTCCCTGGAATGACTTCAAAAACCTCAACTAGTCTGCCTCCTTTGTTACACCATCCTCTCTAACCCAGTCTCTACACTGTGGCCAGGGGATTTGTTGAAGTGTCTGATACCACCGCTTACAATCTTTTAAAAGCTCTGTACTGGATAAACCCAAACCCCTTAAAAATGGCTGCCAAGTCTTTTTCTCAGTCTGGATACTGCACACCTCTCTGGCGTGTCACTCACCACCATCATCTGGCCCCATCTCCTCAAATGCCATCTTTGAAGTATGTTAAAGTTACTGCAGTTATACAAAGATCC